CCATCGCTGTCGAAAGATATTCGCACGTCGATAAGCTGAACACTTTTTCCTGATCTTAACGACGATACGCGTATTAACGTTAAATTGGCCGCGTGCACTTTGCTCGACATAAATCTAGCCGGTGCGACGAAAGCTGCTCTCCCGCGGCCATTCCCAAATGGGATCCCGAAGCGGGCACCGGACGAACCGTAGCCGCGCGTCCTTCTTTAAATATTGACGGAATGAGATAAACGTATAAATTACCAGCCACCTCGTGAGGAGGACCCTCCGGCGACCACGTTAGAAACTGTTCGCGATATCTTTCACGGACGTTGATCCGGGCAGTGGAGCCAGAAAAAGGCAGCACACGAAAAAGGTGGCAAGGATTGGCCTCTTCTTCCTTTTGTTCCGTTGCCTCGGCGAGCGGAGTAGCCGGAGAGATTCTCTTCGCGCGCGGAGCCAAGACGCGCTCTTCCTCGAAATCTCCTATCAATTGCCCGGGCGTATCGTGTACGGATAACAGTTGCTGCTACGATTATGAACTTGTTAATGGGACGTGTTCGACGATAGCCGCGGCATACGGGAGAGAGACACCCACCATATAATTACACGTTAGTTCGCACACGTCTTTTCGGTATGTCGGCGTGGCGACGCGATACGATCGCGCCCCGTCTATTTCGCCCAATTAAACGGCGCAGCGTCCGCCGCTAAGAAACGGGATGATCGCACGCACAGGTAAAGTGCGGTAAATTGAAACTTAGGATAATAGAAACTCGTATATAACTGCGCGTAATGTATAGGCATTACCGCGGTAATGAAGCCGGCCGCTCTATTCTTGCGAGATCGTTATAAAACTGCGACGCCGAAGAAATTTTATCACCGTCCGCGCGGGGACTCGAGAGTCCGTTATCGAGCCAGCTCGATAAAGCCGTGTATTAACCATCATTACAATATCCCCCGGTCGGTCGCGAAGTTGCATAGACCAATGAGAAAATGAGTTACTATGTATTCTCTAATTCAACGACGAGATAATTTATCGCGTTGCACGCTCTTAGGGGATACCAAGTACGAAACGAAATGAAATGAAAAAAAAAA